TCCAGCAAGCGAAAAGGCATCTTACCTGTACACCAAATTTTGGTTCGTACACCTGTTAGCTCCACTGGGTCAAAGTAACCACCCTATTAAAGACATTTTTGTTAAAGAACTGGATAAACGTAGTTTTAGCCAAAGAAATGTTGAATTTTGAACTTTTTCGCACAGTGCGGGAATTTGGGCGCGATTTTTAAACATTTTTCACACATTTTTCGCATAAAAGTGCTTAGTTTAGCGAATTATGGGCGTATAATTGCCATATTTCCAAAGCATAATTATCGCATAATCAAGCCAAATTTCAGCGCATAATTTTAAGTTTTTTTTCGCATAAAGTGCCCATCTCTAGGCATGTATACGTCTGTATGTTGACTTTATTGACAAGACAAAACAAATCGTCTTTAACACATGGACATATTTTTATTTTCATTGAATTTCATCACAAAAGACGTTCTACCCCAAGCATTTATTCATACAGTCGCACCAAATACGCAAATGCCACAGTAGTCGAGGCGAGGAAGTTATAAGTTTCAAGAATCGTGACCGTGCCCAGAATTTTGAACTGTGATCACAAAAATCCATTACATGATAACTGATTTCCTGTATTGAGTTAGGTTTCGTTAGTTTAGGTTTGCTTCATTTTATTTTTAAAAGTCCGTAATAGTCCATTTAAGGATGCCAAGCAAAATTGCGAAAACATTTTCATTTTAGCGCGCCGCAGGCCAAGGTAGACGCACATTTAGCTCAGCTTCACACGGTTTTAAAAAACGTGCGTCTACCTTGTATAAATCTAGAGACAGACTCAGCTTTTAATGCATAGCATTCTACTAGTTATAGTTAGGTTAGAGTTTGAATTACCGCGCCGCGCGCGTTCCTCAGCCGAGACGGTCCAAGCCGAGCTCCGAGCTGCGCCTCAAACCGACCGACGAGCCGAGTCTGCTGGAGGGATGGGAAGGGGGAGGGAGAGGGGACGGGTGGGCGCTAGGGAGCCTGGAGGGGGGAGAGTCGCAGAGATCACGTGACATGCTTCGCTCTGATTGGTGCGGTTCCAATGTGTTTTGGCGGGGTCCAGCACAATGCCTCATACCTGCCAAGCTTGCTCCGGAGGGTCCGGCTTGATCGTCTGCTAGCTCGGACTGCGCGTGCGCGCCAGCCAGGTATGAGACATTTCACATAGCTCAAAAACGCGTTGGAACCCGCCGGGCCCACGGTCACGTGATCTCTGCGACTCTGCCCCCTCCAGGCTCCCTAGGCGGGCGCGCATCACGCTGTCGTACACCGGAGGGGCTCACAAGCGCAACCGATCGCAACCGCAACGGGTCGCAAGCGCAACGGCTCGCAAAGCGCAACAGGGTCACAAGAGCAACGGCTGACAACCGCAACGGCTTACAAGCGCAACCGCGGCGGGGAGCTACCTGTTAGACGGCATCGACTGTAGACGAAGCCAGGAGCGGGAGCGGAGCGCGCAGCGAGCCTCTGGTTGAGAAATCAACCGAGCCTTTGGTCGCTGTGCTCTTCTCGTGTAGAATGCGGTACCTCTGAGACCCTTTCAAACGTTTCGACACCCGCACTGCGCCCGCGTTGGGTAAATAAGTAATTATGAATGGTGCTGAAGTGAGCTGGAAGTCTGGAAACTTCGGAGTAAGTGGTGTCCGGCGGGCTCGTCGCCTGCGGTGCACTTACCATACATTTCGACGCAAGTGATATGTACTCGCAGAAGTGTGTGTACTCCGCAGAGTACATAACCCCTGCGAGCTTGTACTTTGTGTCAACAACTCGTGCGCACAAAATCTGCAGATTTTGTTTCGACCAAAGGTTTGGTTGATTTCGCATCCAGAGGCTCGCTGCGCGCTCCGCTCCCGCTCTTGGCTTCGTCCACAGTCGATGCCGTCTAACAGGCGGATCCCTGCGGTTGCGCTTGTGAGCCGTTGCGGTTGTGACCTGGCGAACCGTGGCGGTTGTGACCCGTTGCGCTTGTGACCCCGTTGCGCTTGCGTCCCGTTGCGGTTGCGATCGGTTGCGCTTGTGAGCTACATCGCCCTTACACACAATACTGGATGACGTCATGCCTGGAGCCCCTCAGCGTTCCGCATGAGAGTACAAGCAATGATACATAGTAATATGTGGATCACATTTTCTGTGTATTTTTCGAACCACCTCCCATTCGGAAACACACTATCATTCATAAAACTGATGATTCTGCTGAAATTAATTGCACTAAAATCCAAAGTGTTTGGGCTGGTTTGCCTACTCGCTCCTTCCGTACGGTGTCATAGCTCCTGCGGTAGGCAATCCCGCCCGCACCGGCCTGTTCGCAATCTCCGCCAATAAGATAAACTCCCCCTGTAGGAGCTTTGGAGGATGTTCGGTGCAAAATTTAGGATCTAGCTGTGATGTAGTTGCTAAGAAACACGGAAAGAACTCACCATCGCTCGCCAATTGGGAACAGAGTAAGACACGAATGGTACGGTGCTTGCATGTACCTCGTGACTTGCCGCACTCGCTTCTAAATAACAAGTGTAATAACGGGTGTGCTTACCTGTGCTTGCCAATTCGAGGAACACGTGTCCTGGGCTATTTTCCAGAGGAAAGAGAACAAAAACACACCTGTCTTAGATGGTATTTATTTGGCGACTGCGGGCAGTAACAGTCACGTCGCAAGCGGAAGATAAAGCCTCCAACATGTTCAAGGCCTTAGTCCTCCTCGGCGCCGTAGCTTTCGTAAGAACTGACAAAACAAACATCTTAAGAAATGTTAAATTAAGGTGTTGAGGCTATGACAGTGGCGGATTAAGGTCCAGCTGACAGGGGGAGCGATGCATTGTCGGTTGCCTACATCCAGGGGTTTTGTGGGGCAAATCGCCCCCCCCCCCTTCCTTAATCCGCACCTGGGCTATGACTCAGCAAAGTAGAAAAGGTACAGACTATGTTCGAATTATAACCTAGGTAGAAGTACGCCAGACCACGTCTCGCGGAGCCTGCGTTACTAAAGCTAAAAAATATATTAGGCCAGATGGCTACCGCACCCTGGACCCCCGTTTGTTTAAAGTTAGGAATGCAATATTTTGAATGCCAGGGGGCTTTCAAAGAGGGTAGTTCAGGATAAGTGAAAAATAAGTGGGAAAACAATAAATGCACTGATTTTGCTGTTTCCGCATGTCTTGCCGCATGATTGGCCGAGCGGATCACGTGCCTCCGCGGTTCTTTTCGTATGATAAATAGTCGTCAATACTCCACCACCTCCCCTTATTTGAGAGGTTAGAAAAGCGACTACACCCCATGACAATTTCTCATACTAGCTGGGGGAAACAGTCGCAGCAGTGAGTTTGTTCGTTTTCACTTCCTGCTTAAATGGCCTGAACTACCCTATTATTAACGAATTTCATATGAATGCCAGATACCAGATAAGAGCGGGGTTCAGGGGTTGGCAGCCCCTTGCCATCACAAGAGGCTCACTAGCACCGCAGGCCCACACTTTAAAATCTGGGTGGGTGTACCGTAAGTAACCACCCCTAGCATTTGCCATGCAACGGGGGTGGGACACATGGGTCAAATGTGTTCTTACAGGGTAGTGACAAAGGCGTGTTCTCACGTAACGCCTTAGTTGTTCCATTTCGAGGCAGTTAATTACGGACCACCTAGATTTTACAGTGTATGTAGGTCCGTAGGCACGTAGCAGCGGAACAGTGTTTAGCAAATTTTCGAAAAGGCCGGGTATGCGAGACATGGTCTAGCGTACATCTATCTAGTATAAACTTGAACGTACTATGTACAGGATTAATTTCACTGAGCATGCTAAAAACATTTCGTTGGTACCAACATTTATTTGTTCCGCAGGCCAATACCCTACATTTCAGCGAGGGTGACACACTTGGTAAGAATAAACTAGGTAAATATACGTCAGGCCACGTCTTGCGTAACAAGCGGCCCGCTGCGACAAGGCTGCGTACATCTACCTAGGCCTACGGCGCTGCCAAGTCTGCGTGATGAAAGCAAACAAGTCTTCAAGGGAAATGGGTAGTTACAGGTTACAGCTCAAAGGAGCCCAAAATTATTTGGACCCACTTTGGCCTCTAGTGCTCTTAGTGGGGTTTTGTAGTCCTCTTTCGTCGCCCCCATGGAAGAAAGTCCGTTCTACGACAGTCGCCCAGAGAATGTCCGATCTACAAGCGTCGTTTGGAGAATGTTCGCTCTGCATTAGCCCGGCTGGAGAACATCCGAAGCAACAGTTTTGACTGTTTTAAGATATTGATGCCGGCATCAATATCTCAAAACAGTCAAAAATGTTGCTTCGGATGTTCTCCAGCCTTATTATGTATCCAACGGTGACTCGCGTTCCGCTGTGGCTCAACTAGAAACCGAGCTAGAACCATTTAAAGTTTTCCGACGCGTAGAGGGGAAGGAGCACTGCCCAGAGTGTATAAAATGATACTTCTTCTTGCAGGAGAATGGGCAGAGGGAGGAGATAACCACTTCTACTGTAAGTATTGTACAAATTTTAAACTTTGAAAAGGTCAGATCTTTAAAAGTTAGAAGGTAGATGTACACCAGACCACGTCTCGCGTTACAGGCTTCGCGATGTTCCACTGTGACGAGCCTGAGTACATAGACCTGGGTGATTCCCAGCACAGAATGTCATTTCGTGTCCTTTCCTTCTAGAAAGTGCCTATTGATAGCCATGAGTTCCCGATCTTTTCCTATAGGGTATTCCGGGTAAGCGTGGCGCCGGAAACGGGAGGCGAAGATGGCGGTGGTCCGATCTCAGACTCATGGCCACTGTATCCGTGCGTCTGCTGTCCATCGCTCTGTCGCACTTGTTAGCGCAACAACAGTTGTTGTTCTGCTTCAGATTATTACGATTGCGTTTTAGTATGCCAGCGAAAGTATTTTAAATGATATTCTCACTCTAAAAATCGTGATTGGAATCTGGACCACCACCTAACCTAACGCCACCGCGCAGTTGACAGAAGACGAGCGGATCCAGAAGCCACGAGGCTAAGATTCGACCAGCGCTATCCTCGCCTCTCGTTTCCGGCGCTTGGCTTGTCCGAAATACCCTATTCACTAAACGCGGCACGGACTACAATATCCAAACGCGCTTTGGAATATACTAGCTCTAGCAAAAGGCTCAGTGGGTCATACGTGGCCTCCCAGTAAGTTCCGTCACTGTCCTACAACCACAAACGAAGACTTCATGTCGCTTTAAATTTAAGTCCATAAAAGCAGCGCAATCCTCACCTCTCGTTTCCGGCGCTTCGCTGGTCCGGAATACCCTATTTAGCCACTTGTAATTTCCGTAACAAGTAATTTCCGTCACCATTTCCTCTAGGTAAAATAGGCCAAAACCAGATCATGCGCTGCTGTCACTCAGAACTTATTTTTAGGGCCAAGTTCTAGAACTTTTTAGTTCTACACTTACAACTGCAAAAGTTCGCCACTTATAACTGACATGCAGTTCCGCACTTGGATTCGCAGAGCAGTATCCATAAACAGCTTATAGACCACATTTTAGCACTTGAGTTAGATACCTAAAGGTACTTTACCATTTGACTACCGAAAAAAGTAAGAACGGTTTGACGTAAGAGCTGTTTCTAGTACCTGTTTCCGGTACTTTTTGATTTCTTTCGTTCCTTTTTCCTTTCCTCTTTCGGTGGAATGGTCTATTGTCCAACATATCTCGCAGTGACATACCGCCCCAAGGAGCGCCGCGTGCGGGAGGGTTTCTACCTGTCGCCGCGGACCACAGCTGACGCCCTCGCCGACCAGTGGCTGCCCGCAGACGCTATAGCTCCCGAGCACACGGCCCTGTATTGCCGGAACGGCGACTACCGCGTGTGTCTGCTGTTCGACAACAAAGGCAGCATCGCAGGCGGTCAGGTTTCGGTATGTTCTACACTCTAAACAATTATTGTAATTTTACGACCTAAAATACGACACATAGGTGGCATATTTTTAGCAAATGATACCTTAAAAACCTTGCGACTAAACATAATGAATATAGAAGAAACTTTAAAGTGTCAGCTAGCTTTTACTCTCAATAAGTACAGAGAACCAAGCGCAGACCAGAAAACACTTTCTTTGGCGCAGGGGGACGAGTGAGTGAATGACTGCCTGGCTGAATGCGCCTCAGGCCTCTACTCAACAATACTAGGGTCCCACCTACTACCGCGCGGCTGCCGCCCGGTACACTCTCCCCTCCCTCCCCTTTATAATAATGCCTGTCAAAGACGATAAACGAGTAAAAAATCTAAAATATGATGCAAAACCACCGCAACACGATGCAGTTAATACGGTGTAGGCTCTCCGGCCGGTAGCGGGCTAAAAGACGGCCGCGTAAAGACGGCACATTCGTAGTTCTGGAAGAGCCGCCGGTGGCGCTGGCGTCGACCGATGCCGGGCGAGGGGACGCGGGAGGGGACGGGAGCGGTGCCCCGCTCGTCTCGTCCCTTCTCCCCTCACTGCAAAATGCTTGCAAAGAATAGGTTCGTATTGCAAACTATTTTCTTTGCAGCTTGCAAAGAATTTTCAAGCATCGTAATACGAACTAGTTCTTCGCAAGCTTACAAACTATTTCTTTGCAATGCAAACACATTGTTTGCAAGGATTCTGCCAGCTTGCAAAGAACTTCTTTGCAGTACGAACTTATTCTTTGCAATACAATGCTCACAAATTCTTTGCAACGTTGCAAAGAATAAAGTTTGCAAGCATTGTACAGTGCTCGCCCGGCATCGGTCGACGCCAGCGCCACTGGCGGCTCTTCTGGAACTACAAATGTGCCGTCATTCCGTGGCCCCCTCAGATAGCTCAGTGCCGACACCGTATTAACTACATCGTGCACCGCAAGTAAAAATCAAACTAGTAATATTAACACACAGGTGTTCTATAGTATAATTGGTATCATCTGCTTTCAAGATAGATTATTGATTTAGATTTTTAAGCACAAACTGATCCCAAAATAACGACTTCAGTCGTAATTTTTGTAGGCCCGTCAAAATGTATACTAAAACGCATCATTTTATGCTATCGTTTAAAAGCGTTTCAAAAAATTTTGGTTTTTATGTACGTTTCAAGTTGTAAAATTACGACCACTTCGTGATTAAAAATTTGCTATCCAGTCGTAAATTTACATTAAATTTACAGTGTAATTATGCTAGATAACGGCTGTCCGTTAGGGTGTCCAAGACAGATTTAATGGTGTGCGCTCTTTGAAACTCACTTATTCGTTTAGTTTCACGCCCCGATTACAAAGCATGAAGCACTTCGGCCCTTGTAAAATGTGGTAGGTGATCAGCAATGTCGATTCACATTGAAAATAACACATGCACGCGCCAGTGATGCGATTTGATGGGTAAACCTACCTTGGGTATCTTTTCGGAGTGATTTGTTCTGCAAAACGTGCCATGACTATAATTTCGATGGAAATTTCACTCACAGAATGTTTCAGAAGCTTTACTGAAAGAAGACAATATTTCTGTTCAGGCTTCAATTGAAGATCTCAACGCATCAGGATACCCTTCGGATCGGAAGAAGCAAATTTACTGGTTCCAGAACAGACTTTTTGGCGTAGATGTGTACTCTTCCATCGTGTTCTTTGTGTCTAAAAGTAAGTTCGTCTCCGCACATAATGCATCTCACGAATCACCTGACAAGCGTATAGTAAAGAAGACATACAGTGAAAATGCAAAAGGCATTCTATAGTAGGAGCCCAGATAAACAGAGTGGCGGACATTATCGATAGTACACTTTTCAAATTTCGAGCAAACATATCAGTTTTAGTCCGATTTACAGTCAGACACCCATATTTCGGACAAAATTCGCGGTTTCCCGCGATAAAGTCTACACTACGGAAGCCACAAAAGTCTAGAAACGAGACCCTAGGCTCTACTTTTTTACCCTTCGCATGACTTTATCTCGCTACACCTTGGCAACAGTGTCTTTGATTGCACAAAATAACACATATCAGATCATAATAATGCTACAATAAAAATTGTGTACTTTCACTTAAGTTAGAATGATTTCAGCATTCAGAGTGCAGTGCTGAGGTGCCCAGGCAGGGTAATTGCCTAGCAATAGGTGCCCAAATTACCTTCCCTAAGAAAGTATACAACAATTTTCATAACACCATTATGGTATGAAAAGTATTATTTTTTGCAATGAAAGACACTTCTGTCAAGGTGTAGCAAGATTTTCCCATGTGCCTTCAGAAGTACACCATCAAATTTATGCTTTTTCAACAGTGTGTTTCAATGCAAAACAAATTCTCATGAAGTGTGATAAATTGAAGTACACAATGTGAAGTGACCGGAGTTCATTGTTGGCTCCAGAGCATGCAGGTCAAATATAGAATAAAGTTTCTATGTTGTGAGAGTGAATTTCTGGTACAGACACTACTTCTTCTTACTGCAGAAAAGTGTTTGACAAGTTTGCATTTGTGTGCAGAGGTGCTGGCGCGGGGTGGTCGTAAGATGAAGAGGAACACACCAACAGCGCCCAGCCCCGAGCTGCTGGTGGTGCGACCTGGCAGCGTGGGCATCGTGGAGGCCGAGCGGCGCCCCGTCCCACTCACCGAGAGCAACATGGCCGCCAGCCAATATTGGACGCAAGGGTGCAGGAATGGCATGGGTAAGTTTGGCAATGTTTCCACTGGTGCACTGAGTTACTCCTCGCCTTTTGAGAAAAACAAAGTTATTTCGTAAAACTGAACTCATGCCAAGAGCAGTACCGTGTCTCGCTGCGAAAACATGCGCTGTGTAAAGCATCACTTTGTGCAATCGGTTTGATACCTTCTGAAAGGCATGTAAAGATGTAACAACACTTTGTTGGTCATATTTGAGGAGAAGCTCTGAATTCGCCACAGAAGGCGATGGGCCTCACTTAAGTTAAAACTGGGTGACATACAAATTCATCTTTCATAAATAGTTGTCACTAAATTGCATCCCTCGATATGAGTGATGATCTTCGCATCACTCGGAATGGAGTGATGAATTGTTAAACGCTTGAAACTGGGTTCCAACTGTAGCCCAATGCGAAAGAACTCCGCGACAGTTGTGCTAGACGTGTGCGCCGACTGCATTTCAAGCGATGGCAGCGTGAGGCCAAAATTTAGTATGCGGTGGCGGCGTCGCTGGTGACGTAAGGTCGACCAAGAGTACCAAAGCACGCTTAAATGGAGATAGCGCAACATTATTTAAAGTAGCGGACTTGTCCCGCCTATTACACCTCAAACTGATTGGAATCTTGCTAAAAACAGCCAGAAGTAGCCTAATACAATCCTAAAGCAGGTCAAGTTCAGAGGATTTTGAAAATTACGCTACTATTATGCTACTATTACGCGTGCTATTACAGATAGAGTGACCCAACTGCATACCTCCTCGGTCCGAGTGACAAGAACAGAGGAGTGGCAGGCAGTGGTAGTCCGAGCTAAGGGCGACAAAGATGTGAACGTTGAGGTGGACTATCCATAGGCGCTTCTAAAGAGGTGAAAATACCAGTGTTTTGGGATGCGCTGCCGGTGACTTTGCGTTTCAATTTGTCGGTGGCAGCGTGGCGTCGGCGAGGTGCACATTGCCTCACTGTAAAAAATTTCTGTGGTTTAGCACAGAAAAAGTAAAGAAGTGTCTGTGCCTTTCTGTGTTTTTCACATAATGAGCACAGACTTTTCTGTGCTTTTTCAGATTGGCCTTAATGTCTTCCAGTTACTTGGAAACCACACAAAGATGAAGGGCTGCGCCTAGCCCCATTTTGCAGATAGAACATTGTGTAATCCGCACGCTGCAGATCGAGGGGTCTGCAACCGAGGGGTGGACGACTGGGCGGCTCTTGTGTACAGGCAAAAATGTACTCCAGGTGTTCTCCGATTGTACTCCGACTGTACTCCGTGTACTCCGGCTGTTTTTGTCGCAAGTTCTCCCCGTACTCCGACTGTACTCCGGGTGTACTCCGGTGTACTCCAGGTGTACTCTGCGCGCTCCGACCGGCCATACTCAGTGTTCGCCGACTGTACTCCGTGTACTCCGTACTCCTGTGTACACGAAAAATTCAAGTCGCCCACCCCTCGTCT